AACATCATATGAGACACCTAGAAGCCATTAAGAAGTCATTCATGATGCTAACATATAAAAAAAATGTTTATATCTCAGAAACGGTTGAATTTTTGATTTATGTTCATTAAGGTCTTATATTCAGAGTGGTGTGTACTATATATCTACTATATAAATAAATAATTTTTTAAACATCTTTTATATTATTATAATTTATTATAGCTAATTTTTACTTGATTGATAAACAAAGGAAAAGACTGTTATATAATGGAACTGATACGGCCAGACCGACCATCTAAATGTACATATAAAGTGAATGGGGAAAATTCACCACATACGAAACGAACGGAGTAAGTTTGTCATAATTGAATTGAAAGCTTTACAAAGAATTTTGTCCATATAATTTACACATATTTTCGCAATTGCACGATATACATTACAGCCTTGTGCTAATTTTAACAGAAGAAAAATTTTACCACATGCTTTGAGATATCAAAGTTTATCAGTAAACCACACAAATATGTTATTACTACATTGTCATGAAACAAAGAGAGATTATAAAACTTGTCATAAATATTGCTATAAACTACAAATAAATATGACTTAGATAGTTATTGTAAGATATTAATATAACACAGATATATATGATAATAGCATATTTGCGTTATTTTCTAGGTTTCCAAATCGTAAAAAGATATTGCCAAACATTTTAAGTACAATTGGCCAGACACCTCTTGTTCGGCTTAATAAAATTCCCAAGGCTCATGGGATCAAATGTGAAATGTGTTAGTACAAATTTGATATTATATTAATTATATTTTATAGAATAGAAATTTTCTTTAATGAAAAAAATCTGGTGAGAAAATTTTTCTATGTTATACAGACGCTAAATGTGAATTCTTTAATCCCGGAGGATCTGTCAAAGACAGAATAGCGGAGAGAATGATCTCGGATGCGGAAGAAAAGGGTTTAATACAACCGGGATATACAATCATTGAACCAACAAGCGGAAACACTGGAATCGGTCTAGCCATGGCCGCAGTGGTCAAGGGCTATAAATGCATCATCGTGATGCCAGAGAAAATGTCTAATGAAAAAGTCTATGTGCTTCGCGCTTTGGGTGCAGATATAGTTAGAACACCGACTGAAGCTTCTTGGGACAGTCCGGAAGCGCATATCAGTGTTGCCCAAAAATTGCAAAAGGAAATACCCAATAGTATTGTTTTAGATCAGGTGCCTTATTTCAATATCTTTCCTAAAACATCTTTAAAAATTAATGAATTATATTTTTAACATAAATACTATTAAATGTTACATATAGTATACAAATCCTGGTAATCCATTGGCGCACTATGATCAAACTGCAACAGAAATTTGGGAGCAATGCGACGGCAATATAGATTATGTGGTACTTGGTGCTGGCACTGGAGGTACTATATCCGGAATTGGACGAAAATTGAAGGAATTGTCGCCTAGTGTTAAAATTATCGGAGTAGATCCTAAAGGCAGCATTTTAGCGGAACCACCTGAATTGAATGAAAACAGCGTTGGTTTCTATGAGGTGGAAGGAATCGGTTATGACTTCATTCCTACGGTATTAGATCGTAAAGTAGTTGATGAGTGGCAAAAAACTGAAGACAACGAATCTTTAAAAGCGGCACGAGAATTAATTAGGGAAGAAGGATTGTTGTGTGGCGCTAGCAGTGGTGCGGCACTCGCGGCGGCGTTGAAAGTCGCCAAAGACTTGCCTGCGGATAAACGTTTGGTCGTTATCCTACCGGACAGTATAAGAAATTACATGACTAAATTTGTGTCAGATCAATGGATGGAAGCTAGAGACTTTTTGGTAAAGTTATAAATTATACATCTAGAATATCGTAAATTTATTGCAACTATTAAATATTTACTAAGTTATAATTTACTTTCAGGTGTCCGAACCTTCAACAGAAGCAAATAAAAAGTGGTGGAACTTACCGGTATCAAAGTTATCACTAAAGAAGCATATATTATTAAGAGAGATGTCATGTCAAAATGTTGTGGATTTTTTTAAATCCTCTAATCATATTCAGCAATTGTTAGTAACTGATGCAAAGGAAACAAAAGTGCTAGGAGTTATCGCATTGGATACCCTTCTATCTCATTTAATATCCGGTACGGTGAATGGAACCGATTTAGCTGAGAAAATCATGACTAAACAGTTTATGAAGGTCACAGCCTCTATGACAATCGGTAAAGTGTCGCGTATTCTTGAAAAAGAACCTTACGCCGTGGTTGTAGACGACCATGATGCTTTAATCGGACTTGTAAGTCGAAGCGAAATTTTTGATTTTATCACTAAGGATGATGATGGCAAAGAAATAATGGCATAGCATAAAGTCTGTTCCATGTTGTATGTGATCAAGATTGTCACCTGTATATGTACAGATAATTAAGATTAATTACGTCAGGAAATTTCTTCCTTTTTAATATTGTGTTTGATACTATATTCTTATATTTGTATAAGTTGAAAAATATTTATACATAATATACGAGGGTCGTTCGAAAAGTCCGTGCAAAGTCAGAGAGATGACACTACTGGCGCGTATCAAGGTTAGATTTAGTTAGTAGCATCTCTTGGAGGAACACACACCAAGTTACAGCCAGATCGGTCTATTTGTTTGTGTTTGGCATTCATTTGAATCGAGGAAGTCGAGTGATTTTCAAAAAATGGAACAGCTCACACCTCAGCAGTTGTGGTCGCAAAATTAATGGAATTAGGGTTCCAACTCGTCTCACATCCCCCCTACTCTCCAGACTTGGCTCCCTCGGACTACTATTTGTTCCCCAATATAAAGAAATGGCTGGCGGGAAAAAGATTTTATGGAAACGAGGACATGATTGCAGAAACAAATGGCTATTTTTCAGACTTGGACAAATCCTATTATTCGGAAGGGATCAATAAATTAGAGCAGCGTTGGACGAAGTGTATAAGCCTAAAAGGTGACTATGTTGAAAAATAAAAAAGTTTATCCCAAAAAATTAAGTAGTTTTTATTTTTGCACGGACTTTTCAAACGACCCTCGTATAATGAATTGTCAATATGGAATTTATACATCTATCTAGATGTCGTTTTTAAACTAATATGAGAACTAAATTGTTAATGTTTATGGCATTTATACATTTTAAGTATTTAAGTCATATTTTCCACTTTTGTAGTAATTTTATGAATATTTACCAATGTAAGTGCAAATACAGATGAACAAAATAAAAAAAAATGTGAAACGAAAATCGTTGTATAAATGTATATACATATATTCTTTATTTTTCATTATATTTTGGGATTAGAGCATAGTTTTACAAATGGATATAAACATTATACAACAAGATAAATATCAGAAAGAACAAATATTTCATCCCTGGGAATATTATAATATAATATATTTTTTCCACACTAAATACAATAAAAATACATGACATAGTACGATGAATATCTAGTCATATTTCCTTATATTTCACATAAGAGATTTACTATATATGTACCTTTTTACACTTCTGTATCTTCTTATTTCTCGAGTCGCTCAAAATGGCTATTAAATCTTTTGAACTTGAACATGGAACTTGCAGCTTGGTAACGTAGTAGTTTCTGCTGTGACAGTGCTAATAATACCAAGATTCGCTAAACTACCTCGGAGAAGGCCACAAGTGAAAGCCAATAAACGAGGGCTCTCCTTGAGGTACTGCTTACTATTACTCGTACCAACTTTATCTAGCAACCTAAAGGCATTATCTTGCAACACGTACACTCCGTGATGGTTAGTTCTGAGATTATCGATTTGTTTGTGATACAGGCTAGACCAGAAGTCTGTGCAGATAAACTTGATCATGTCTAGCTCGTCCTTGAATCTGCTCCACTCTCTCGTCAGTCGTTCAATAATTCTATATCCGACGCTAAATCCCATCCATTCTAAACGCGAGAGCTCCTCCTCACCTTCCTATCAAAAATAAAAAAAATTTAAGAGTTCTTTTATGGTAAATAATAGGACTTGGTTATTCTCAGCCAAAAGTAAATTATATATACCTGTTAGCTATAGTTTTCTACTCAATAATATAACTGTAATATGACACAATATGTTAGATTACAGTTATATTGTTGAGTAAATTATTATAATTTTGTTGATGTTTGCTGGGTTACTCTTGTCATGATCAATTACTCACTGCATTAGACGAACAAGCAGCATTAGATGTGCCCGCAGCATTAGACGATCTGCTCAAAACATAATTAACCAGCTCGGCGTGTAAATATTCGAAGAGACAGTCGTCTGCTTCCCCGGTTGAGCTGGGATTCGCTTTAGAATCAATTATCTGTTGTTTCATCGTTCGACGATATCGTTTTGGCTCGATTACAGATAGTTAATATTTTCTTATGTAACTTAATGTATAAATGTATCGTTCACAGAAAAAAAAATGTTAAACAATTTGAACACAATCGTCAACTTTTCCTAGATTGTTAATTAAAGAAAAATTACTTTCACTGCGCATCTGACTGCAAAATTTGCTTGGCGCATATGACGAAATATGATAAAACATATGATATCTTTGACAGATTTGCGCATGCGCTGTGAAGCGATTGTATGATAATAGTGTACCACAATGGTAACCATGGAAACTGTAAAGCATGCTTGTTCCACGCTGCAGGATAATCATATCGTACACCGATAATTATTTTCTTTTTACATAAAAAATATGTTTCAGTTCACATAATCACGTTAATCTTCCTTGTATTTATATTTAATAAAAATCTTGAAAAGTAAGTATATTAAGTTTCTATCGATTATATTTTATATAAAGTATTATGTATTTAATTATTACATTTACAATAATAATCATTAATAATAATAAATTAATTAATTAATAATTGATTATATATTTTAATTATTTAACAAATATTGATTGATATATATGCGACTATTTTTATATAAGAGTAATAAAAAATATTTGTTATTCGTAATTTTAATAATATAAATTGTTGAATAAAACAGAATATGGACAAATATATTATCAACGGTCAGATCGGTGAAGGAGCGCAAGGCTTAGTCCTGAAAGCGCACGACTCATCTCGAGATCAAGAAGTAGCATTAAAGAAAATCCTGATTAAAAAGATCGAGGGTGGTCTACCGACATCCATCATACGCGAAGTAAAAAGTCTGCAACAACTCAAGCATCCTTATGTAAGCTTACTTTCATCTAATATCTTCTTAACTTTCTTCAAGGAAAAATTATATTTAAAGCGTTTACTGTAATTTTCTGAATTAATTCAACGGAATTTGCATGCATTATCATTTGTTCGCAGGTCGTGGAACTACTAGATGCTTTTCCAAATGGTTTAGATTTCATAATGGTGTTTGAATACATGCCAACAGGTCTATGGGAAGTATTAAGAGACTTCGAGATATCTTTGACGCTGGCACAAATTAAAACGTATATGAAAATGTTGTTGGAGGGCATAGCATATGTGCATGGTAAAAATATAATGCACAGGGTACACAACTTTTTATTTAAAAATAATTCAAATTCAGATATACGTAATCCGAATCTTTTACAATGTTAAAGAGTTTGGAATCGCATTTTAGGATTTGAAACCTGCGAATTTGTTGATTAGTGAGAAAGGTATCCTGAAAATCGCGGATTTTGGCTTAAGCAGATTGATGTGGAAGGATGGTACAAAGCCGTATTCACATCAAGTCGCTACACGATGGTATCGAGCACCGGAACTGCTCTATGGAGCACGTTATTACACATTTGCGATCGATATTTGGTCGATTGGTTGCATATTCGGTGAAATGTTGAACACTTCTCCATTATTTCCAGTAAATAATTCCTTTTTCATAAATAAATTATTAATTTATATAGCAATATTCTGTTACCCGTAATTGCAGGGTGAAACTGATATCGAACAATTGGCCATTGTTCTAAAGTATTTGGGTTCTCCTACATCCGAATCCTGGCCCGAATTAACTTCGTTACCGGATTACAACAAAATCACCTTTCCTTATCACAAAAGCACATCATGGGAAAATATTATTCAAGATGCTCAGCCAGAAGCTATCGATTTAATCAGGCAAATTTTGATTTACAATTCTTCGAAACGTCTCACAGCTGAACAGGTAATATACAAAATTATACAATGATATATAAATAATGAGGTATATAACACAGAGTTATAAGATCCCTATTATCCTTGATTTTTTTTATTAGTGACTATTATTTTTATACTGTTCTTCCATAACTTTTCATTAAAGAGAAAGCAAAAGAAGATATAAACTAAGACATAAAATAAGACAAATAAAAATAAGAAATTATTATTGCAGGCATTGTGTCACACATACTTTTACTCCAAACCATATCCCTCTATGAAAAATCTAATAAAACCACCATCAGATCATCGTCTCCGCGTAAAATCGAAAGAAATCAATCCGAATGTGCAACCAAACACGCTTTTCGAAAATCTTCTAAGCATTGTATAACGATGAATGACATGATGTATATTAATAGTATGTTATTAGTATAAATAAAAATATTCTTTATAGAAAAAATTAGAAAATCCTTTAACAATTTTATTTAACAGATTTTATTTAACTTCCATTCCTGTAAAGCGCAAGTATTCTTCTGAATACCTCTGGATTATATCCTTCGACTACTGGTCTACCATTATCATATTCAGCTTTTTCATAAAGCGTCAACGACGGTAAAGAACACCAGAAATTTTTTACACTGACGTCCTTGGCGTCTAACGAATTGAGTTGAAATACGAAAAAGTGATAATTCTTTCCATCTGATTGAATACATTGCACAGTCACGGGCTCTGGTAGTTTCTTCACGGATGAGCCAAACTTTTGCCGTGCACAGGACGCCGCCATGGTGTACGTTTTTATCAAAGTGCGACTAAAAATCTGACTCTGTGTCACAGGTAATTCCGTCTTATTTCTCACATAAACGGGGTCATAATGCACAAAAATAGTGTGGACGTTTATCCAAGGTATAGTTGGACTGACAGCTGTTATTAATATACTTGATATTAAAAATATATTGTAATATATATATTGGAAATAATCAGCATTAAACTTACGATACATATCCTCAGTTTTGTAGAAGTTTGTCTCGTCCAAACCAATAGTGTGATGCAGTGGCTGCATATTCGGAAGATCTATTTCCATATTGCTGTTAGAATTTTCTATTGGTTTTAGAGGATTTGCCGACATGACCGTCACATCTGAGCTTAGGGTAAATTGAATAAGGTCTGATTCCTTATCTAGGAAACATTTTTATGTTATTTGAATAAAGTTGAATGCAATATTAAAATATTGCAATATTTAATTATCTATAGCTAAGCTACCTAAGTTTAACTTTGTGATTCCATTATAAAATATACATCGTTTCTGTGCGATCTCTGGACCCGATAAGGACTCGCAAAGTTGTAAAAATTTTCTAGATAAATTCTGCCTGTAAAAATATTCAAGAAATAAGTGTGTAAATGTACATTTTTGCTGTATAAAAATAATACTTAAATCTTTTTTAACTCACTAACATTTTTCTACGATTAGTTATACCATAATCTCTAGGAAACACCCATGCAGGTCTTTCAGGATCTTTCCTCTTTGGTAGTTTTTCTTGATGAGCATCAAATATATTCGAAGTATAAATTATCCTAAAATGGCAACAATTATATATATATATATATATAGAATTAAAACAAATAATTTAGTATACCGTTTTACTATGCTGTCTACATGTTCCGGTAGATCTGGAAATAAATCTTGGATATAATTTGAAGAACTGTTCGGCAGACACACAGTGTTCGTCAATATCTGTGCTTGACGAAATCCTTCTTGCAAAACGTTATTATCCTTAAATATCAAGCAAACTTTAGCTTTCCAGTCGGGATGCGTTTCGTCAAACACTATTGGTCTTGGCTTCAAAAATTCTAGCTTTAACCTTGTATAAAATACAATTTACAATTAATGTCTTATGCAGTATAGAATTTGCAAAAAATGCAAACTTTATAGAAAAAAGTACTTTGAAAATTCCCGTTTTGGACTGATCACTTCTAAGGGATCCTTCACCTGAATTCCCAATTTCGACAACTTTCCTTCTATTTTGGTATCTCTCACTTTGCGTTCTCGCTTCACATACCATAATTTTTTAAGCTGTCTGCCTATATGTTGCTTGTATAACACCCCCGTGAGCTTCATTGTTCTTTACTTGAAACAGAAAGATTAATAATATAAATTTTGCAAAAATTTCGAGGTTATGCGGATTATTAAAAAAAAAACTTCTCTTTTTATCAATATTAATTTTTATCAAACTATATAAAAAATCGTATAATATTCGATATCGTTACTTACGATAAGAAGTAATGAAATCAAATTGTATGTAATACTTTTTTTAAATCTTTAATATACTTTCCGGTTCATACATGTCTATATGTCACAATCACAGGCTTCTATATATACTATAGAATTCTGTGGTCTCAATTCAAGCTATATCGGTAATGTAGGATTCTTCTATCCTTGTTTTATGTCTACAAATGATAAAGCATAGAATACATAATAGCGCTAAAACCGTCTTCCCAAATGCACTCCAAGTAAAGTTGTCTAAAATTGATCTTGACCTTTTTGATAATGGAAGTTACATTCGGATTGAGACTTGGCATACATATAATGGAATTAGAAATTCTAATTAGTAACAATAAAATCAATAGGCTCTAAAGAAAATTCTAAAAAATAATAAATAAAATGCCAATTTGAACCGACACTGGTCATTTTATTTATTATTCTAAGTAAGCTCTTAATAAGCAAATATTTTTTTATAAATTTTTCTAACGGATATCGAATTAGGGTAAAAACTAGATATCTTATTTCTATAAAAAATTATCACAAAGCTTTGGCAACTTCAGCAAAATACATACACTTTTTATATTTTTATATTTAATATTTTACTATATGCGTACCCATTTTAAATAACATATAAATCCCCTCCATCCCTTTTTTGTACATATAAATATGTTAATGAAAATAAAAAATATACAACAAATGTATATAGATTTAAATTAATTAGTTTTCTTCGTAGCAGCACTAGGATTAAGTATTTTCCGCCTTTGTGCAAACATGTGCAGGTAAAGTGGTGGAAAACCTGCAGTGAAAAATATAAGTAGTTATGAATAATTTCATAAATTCAAATAATTTCATGATTTATTTTTGTATCTACACGCTTTTTATATTCACCTGGAATGTAAAATAGCATAACTGTTATCAGGAGATACAAATAGCTAAATGTGAAATTCCATTTGTTTGGTAGAACATAACTCCAAGAGTCAGGATTAGCATTGGCGTATTTTACGGCGGTATATAAACACAATAGTTCACCAGTCACGCCCACTGGATACAGTATGATGAATGTAGTATATCTAGAAGCATGTTCCCATTTAATGTGACTTATATATATGAAAGTAATTTTAGACTTAAAATGGTAGAAGAGATTAAACTCACCTCAGCCAGACTAATACATGTGGCATAATACTAGAGACGAGATTTACGAAATAATAGGAGTATCTAATGATTTCTGTAATGGACCATGCGATGAGAGCTAGTGGAAGACCTGGAGACGAAGCAGCGTATGTATAAGGAGTAGCCAGAAGGACTCCGTTTACAAGCATGATACGACTGAAGACTTGAGCCAATGTGACTAAAACATTGGATGGTACCAGCCCGATTCTTGCATGTATTATCTGAAATAGGAAGTTTCTATATAATGAACGATGCATAATTAACACAATACTTTAAGAGATAAATATACATAGAAGCTAGGTAGCACGTACAGTCTCTAATCTACTAAAACATTTCATGAAATTTGTATCTCAGTGCTATTTGTCAATAATTTTAATTACATTTTAGTCTTAATTTTAACAACTTTTTTAGATTATATAGTAATTCGTTTAATATATTTTCAGTAAAAATTTAAAATCTTAAAAGCTTCAAATAATTAATTATCTGCTCGCCTCATTATATTCAACCAAGTTCTAAGATCGTTGAATACCTCTAATAAAGCTGCATTTTGAAAAACGATTACAGGTAGCTTGGTTTTATTCCACAAGGTATTATCTGAGGAGGAAGATTCAAGATAATGTTGTATAATCTGATACAATAAGTAACTCCATCTGAAATAGATTTATTCCCAAATTAATTTAAGAAGAAAAAATACATAAAGAAAACTCTATAATAAATTCTAGAACAGAGTAATAAAAAAGTTATACAATATTGTGTTAAAAAGTTATTAATCATATGAAAGTAGTTCAGAGAATTTCGGATTGTTAATTTTGTTATTTACAAGAGAAAACGTACCCCAAAGTCTGGCCGAGATTATACGATGCCAGATACAACTTCGAGAAAGAGCTTGGTTTCTTGGATTTCACTCCTGCCATTTTTACGTGGAAATTCGTTAAATGTTCTCAGATAATTCGCGATGAACTAAATTTAATCTGATACCCTTCCTCGATCCTGAAGAATGTAATCACTCTTTAATATGCACACATGTAACCAAAAAACCTTGGTCATACGCCTTCGAATATTACGCAATTATTTATAAGAAAAAAAACTGCGAAGTAAGCATTAGTTGCTCACTCAGCGATTTTTATTTTTTATTTTTGCAACGATATACAAATTTTTACATCGATATGGAACACATCGAGTGATCGATGAATTTATAAATTCCGCACTCCCACCAAAACATCAATTTCCACCAAAACATCATCTCCTACTCCTCTTAGAGTCGAGCTTATAATACAACAGTCACATCAGTCACACATAATTTATAACTCCGACCAACTCTGACTTAAATCGGCCGATTAAATTTCAGAATTTCCAACTGCAAAATTGAATCTTTTTTCCTCTCGCTCTAAATGCTTCGTGATCTTTTTGCACTTGAGGTTTATATTTTTAACTACAATTTTTGTATCTTCATTATTGGCTGCGTTCAGCAGAACACAACAATTTTGCAACTGTTTAATGATTGTTTGCTGAGATAGAATCATTCTTTTCAAGTCTAAAAGTATAATCGAATCAGCGCAAAGAAAACTTCTAACAGTTGCAAAATAAACATCCTTTTTCTAAACATTTCTAAACGTAGTCTTTTCTTTCTTTCCTAGACATATATTTATTAAAATATAAAGAATATATTCAGTTCTGAGAGAGAATGAGGACGTAAGTAGAATAGAACTTTATTATTACTTCAGCTTAATGAGTACGCAAGTATTGACTTTTTGTTTAATCAAAAAAATGTTAATTTCAAAGCATAACGGAATTATAGTAAAAAATTTTAATTTTAGCAATTCCGCCAGGTTAAGTAGCCAATTTTATAATTAATCATCAAATCGAAAATGATCATCAAATTTTTTAGCGGTATAATAGGCTTCAAGACAAGAAAATTAAATAATATAAAGGAAAAAATACAATTGGTCCTGGTAAATAAGATGAATCATCGCATGTGAGGGATTTAATATAAGCTGCATGAGAACGTATATCGAACTTTTAAGGCCTTCCAGCAGTTCCAGCTCGCACACCAGTCCAGTCGTATCGTTAAGCGGGTAGCACAGACTCTTGCATAACGCATAAAACATGAGACATAAGAAAATCAACCAATCAGAGTCCTTTATTTCATGGAAAGGAAGGAAACGAAAGACTTTGATTGGTACATTTTCTTATGCATCACGTGTTATGCGCTATGCAAGAGTCTGGTGCTTCCCGTTTTATTCGCATATTCAACTCGCGTCGCGATAGTCGCAAGTTGCAAGTAGCTTTGTTTTTGTTTGGGCGTTTGATTTATACGAAGTTGCATGAATAAATCGCACGCTGCACGATCGAATCGCACTACCGAGAGACAAGAGCGAATGAGAGATTGTGAGATAAAAAAATGAGATAAAGGAAAACGATAATCTCTTCTCGAAGAGATAAAAAGTGTTTGCACACCATCACATACACTCGACGACTTTGATTTTATAAAGGTCTCGCAAGAGACCACTTATTCGAAGAGTACGAAATTCGCACGAATTAACTCTCTCTGCAAATTGTCGCAAATTCGACTCGAGCAAGCGGGGAAGAATGACGCGCCCTGCCAGGATTTTCACCGCGCGAATTATCACGTTTGACATGATTAACGTCATGCATTTTTCGACAGTCAGCTGTGGTCGTGATTTATGAAGCAATAATCTTATCTCTGAGGTAACGCAGTAAAAGACGCGCGGTAAACATCCCTGCCTAAATCCTCTCGCACTCTTATATAGCAAAGCGTGAAAGGAAAATTCTCAAAAGCACGTGATCCTGCGCGGTGGAAAGTTAACGTCAAGATGCATCGTATTGTCGAGTTGATCGCGAATAGCGCTTTGCTGTGGATTTTTCTCCAGACCGCGATGAGTGTGCTGGTCACCGTCCTATATGAGTTTTGCATTCCTTGGGTCATTTGGGGCTCACTGATTATCGTGATAGCGTTGAAATTGGCCCGAGTGTCCCCTCCGCCTACCAGCACCATACAAGAGGTGCTCGGCATGAATCCGCTCCTCCTGAGCAAAGATAACTCCGTGTCCGAAAACCACGGTAATGGAGAGCAATATTGCATGCGAGTGGTGGCCCACCGTGGTGGAGGATATGATTATCCTGAGAACAGTTTGTTGGCTTTCCGAAATGTAAAGTTACACCCTTCGATGTAGCTTAACTTTTATAGTATCTAAGATTTTTGTAGTAGTTAGTCTTTTGTGTGTCTTGATCTTATTAGCTTGTTTAACATTTATTATTGCTTGATAATGTAAGGAAGAAGGAACTAAAAATATATAATAATGCATTGTCCTATTTAATCATTAAATATTTCTTGTAATTTCAAACATACTAATTTTGTTTTATTGTTTGACAATTTATTTTAGATATATTTCATGATGCATCATCTAAACTTTTTACAGAGCAGAGGAAAGGGTTGTAGTGCAGTGGAGCTTGATTTACGCCTAACAAAGGATAACATTCCAATAATATTCCATGATCCAACAATTGAAAGACTCACAGGCCAGACAGGAATGATTAGTGAAATGACATGGGAAGAATTGAGGGAATTTGATATAACTTACAATCATCCACTTAAGTACGATTATATGTATTTCAACTTAATCAAATAATCTTTTGTATAAAATACATGTCTATAATGTGTCTCAGAGTATTTTAACAGAGAAAAATAATTATTTTGCCAAAGGAACAAATTTTCCGAAGGCGAGAGAATCGCACTGTTAGACGACGCATTGCAAGAATGTCTGAACAGCGAGCAAAGAATAATTATAGATATAAAAGAGACGAGGCTGGATATCGTACAAGTTATTCTAGACTCCTACAAAAAATACCCAAAACTGTTCCAGAGAGGCATCGTGTCGAGTTTCAATCCAATCGTAGTATACATGGTACGTGTAATATAAACGTTGATTAATATAACTTAAATTATATATCTACTTCGACTGTGAATATATTTTTATATAATTTTATATTCAGATTAGGAAGAAAGAGCCGCGTATTGTTTCGAGTCTCGCTTGGAGGCCGTATTTTTTTTCAAGAATGTCGTACGTCGGTTTGGAAGCACCCGGCCCAGTACGATATCCTAATCTGTTTAAACATTTGGCAGCTTGCATCT